TCACTAGAAGTCTCTGGCTCGCTAGATGTACTTGGATTGCATAGTGTACTGTCTGGGACCTTAACGATCTTTGTGATAGTACGGTCGGCAGTGATATATGAAATTCCAGTAGTACATTCAGTATAAGTTGAAGTAACTGTGACAGTTGTCCTGTCTGCATTTAACTTGTGTTAGTAAAGAAAAGACATTTTCGCGGAGTTGAAAAAATACTTACGACCTCCTGAACCGGAACCTCCCGCAGTGCCATGAACTAAAGTGTAGGTCTCTTTAAGTCTGGCGGACTCAGTCTCAAAGTTATACTGGCGCTTCTTAGAACATGTAACTTTGACATCAACTTCTATGTTAAACTCAGCGGACACTGACGAATCAATGAACGTCGACCACCACAAACGAGCTTTGTTGGAGATGGCACCAAAGGCGTACTCCAATGTTTTTGAACTAGAGGATGTCAGCTGCGTACTTGGAATCTCACTAGCATACACTGGATACAAATAAGGACTCATCTCGTCACTATAGTATAGTTCTGAGGTTCCATCGACAAATGGTGCACCAGTAAGCGTCAGGGTGATCGTTCCAGAAGATACACCGCCTGCATTAGAGCAAAATAGTTGTGGAGAATAGTACATCAAGGACTCACCTCCTGATATAGCTCTTGCCACACTTTGAGCAGTTTCTGTCAAATCCATTCTTCCAGTTTCAATCTTACCTAGGTCAACTTTACCTTGGAGGTTCCCATTGAAGTAAACAGTGTTGGTTCCACTGACCCAATGACTTCCAGCTTCAATTGTAGCTGTACGACAGCCACCATCGAAGACAACAACGAAGCTAACCGTTCCTGTGAGGGTATCTAAATCTTCCAAGTTTGCAGTAATTTCACATTGAATCATTGTTTCTAATGATTTTCCGGCGGCTTGGTCAACGTCGCAGGAGGCCAAAGTTTGTCCACCATTGAACAGAATATCAAAATAATCAACCAATGTCTCTTCGTCAGTAATTCTGACTTCAAAGACATACGGCATGGTCAGCAGGAAATAATCACCAGTTTCAGCAGTTTGAGCATCAAGGCTCCAACCCATTTCAACAGTATAGAAGTTGAACGGACCTTTGTCGTTTGTTGTTTGAGAAAGCAGTGAAATAGATTTGATTGAAGTGAAGACACCTTCGATTTCCTTGGATGCGGAAGCCAATCCGCCTATCGAGGAGAGCAACAGTAACGCTCTAATAAGCCAATACATTAAAAACGAATGTACACACCTGTGGAGTTCTCAAACATATTCTACTGTCACAATCTTGGGTGAATGACACAGGTTTATATACCTCTAGAATCCACGCTATAACAATATGAACTCAACAAAAACTGGTCCAATGTCACCATGCCTTTCTCCATAAAACAACAATTAAACTTTTGTAACATTGTTGAGCATAAACTCTGATTACTGTGTGTTTAGGAGACATCGGCTTCTTTTGCAAGTTGGGAAGACGCTTCTGTCCAATCAAAACACACCGTCATCTGGTTGGGCTGGTTAGATATCGGTAAAGGTTAACTTTTGTGCAAAACAAATACGTAAATTTAGTGTCTTTTGTTCTCTTTCGCTTATTCATTTCATATGCAGAGAACCTCCATATCTTATGCGTAAGCGAGCTGCATGCAGTAGAAGTTACGCATGACTTTGGCTAATTCAAAGGTTTTAAAGTTGGTGATAGGACCCTCCAATCCCTTCAAACATGCGAATGGGAATGGGGTTGTATTTGTATGTAATGCAACGAAGAGGAGACAGAAGCCACGGTACCAGGTCGGGTTGACTCCTTTTCTGGTCATGTGCTCCATGAGAGTTGCTTCTGTTTTGAGAGATACAGCAAATCATGATTGACAATAAGAAGTGTAAGTATCATAGCTTAGTTGAAGGCAACATATTGGTCCTTGGCCCCATGGTACTCCTTCGCAGTGGTTCTGTTCTCTTGTCGTCATGGGTATGCGTGTGCTCGTTTGTCCTCCTCGCCTATGCAAAAGGTACAGAATCTCGCATGATATAGGCCACGCCTTGGACCTTTTCTAGATAAATCGCAGATCTCAAGGCTGTGAGCTTAAATTCGCACTGCGCTTATTGGATAATTTGTCGATAGTTACCCAATAGGACATGCACCTAATACAAGTTTAGCCTCATGTCAAACTATGACTGCACCAACTTCGAGGTGACTAACTTCTGCTTTTAGAGAAAATGTGTGTGCGTCTTCAAAAAAGTCGTCATCATTCCTACAATGGCATTACCTCCCTAATACGTTCCAATAGGCGTCCAATCATCAACTACAGCCAGTTCATGGTGTGTGTAATTTTGATCAGAACCTTCAGATTCATTTCAACTAGACTCTATGACCGTCTTGGGAATTAACGTAGGCATATATATCCTATGAGGCATTGTGACTTTGCTCAAACATGTATAGCGTCACAACCAAGTTAATATCCACTAGATTACCCAAGCCCCTCCCAGTGAAGCCAAGTGGGCATCGGTCCACGACAAAAGTTGCTGTACCTAATCTATTTGCTTGAAAGCGTAAACATAAGCTTGTCCGTATCATAATGTACCAATTGGACGCACAAGATGTTGTAAGACCTGTATTTTTTAAGTTACACGATTAGGACCTAACTCGTTTGGTTGGACGAACACTTCGCAAACTACACCAGCAAAGTAAACCCTGTTCTACAAGCATTGTTTCATTTCCATTGCTCTTGGTTTTAGTCAAAGATTCGCCAAGAAGATGTTAACCAACAAGCAGTGTATATTGTATGCATTGGGTGGAACTTGTTTAGGATGCCTTGGTCCCATTCAGGGAACTCTACGTCATGTCGGAAAACTTCCCGTGCATTTCATTATACGCCATTGCAAACACAATTGGAAATCTGGAATGTCAACCCAATATCCTCGCAATGTGTTTAAGATACAAGGCTATTAACCACATTTCCAGTCAACTATTAGTGCTATGTTAACATTCTTTAGAGGTATTGAGTAATCTATATCCAAATCGCTGGATTGGAATATTGTCTAATGAATGTTAAAGGCTCCTGGTTTACGGATTCCTGGAAACCATACAACACAAGAGTGTAATTTCATTCCACATAAGTGAAGATTACCAAGCAGGATGAGTTGGCATATTCACATTGTACCAGAATTGCATGTCGTTGTTATTGTTGGCTCCTTCCTCCTCGGCTATTCCTAAGGCGTACTACTGCTTACATCATCTCTTATGAAGCATTGATTTTAGACCAATTTTTATGGATGCGCTGTGGGGAAAATTATGTAAGCCTTTTTAACTAAACCTAAAGCAAACAATGGATTAAGCATGGATTTCTGTATGGTGATGAAAGCCCACTTTATAGTGATTTGCCGGTCAGAACAGGCAAAGTTTTGAACAAATCTTCAATACTCTGAGAAATCTGTAACCTCATGTTCTGGAATTACTGGGGATACATGAGCCTAAGTGTTTACATGAGTCCAGCATAAATTTTTAATACAAAGAAGATATATATATAATGGACTTAGTGATCTACAATCTTCAAGAGCTGGTCGGTCTACTGAATATTGACCGCTAATTGCAGCACTTAGTATTAGCTCCTTTCTAATACATTCTACAGTGTTGTTACATCTAACCGCATATAATCAGTTGGGGTGACGAGGAGTCTTAGACAAAAGCTTTATACCCTGACATGTTACCTAAATCAGACTTCATAAGCCTATAGCGTTAGGATGTCGCAAAGAAAACTGTATCTGACTTATTTGGGGGATGGAAGGTGATGGACTTTTTCCCTGGACCTTTTTTCTTCTCTCAAGTCCAGCTTTCATTCTAATGTCTCTAGCCTGAACAACTGGAGATTCAAGCACAACATGCTAACACTTAGAGGTTTTCTGTTTGTTTGAAGTACAAATCATTGCCATCTGTACGTCATTTCCGTGGTATTCTTACCACAATGAAAATGGAATCTCTACGATTGAAACTAATTCTGTATCGAAGCCTTGAAAACTTGACTCGATCAGGTCTTGTGTTTGAAGTTTTATAATAGGGATTACAAAACAGGAGAGTTCAAATAAATCAAGATATATCAACAAACTATTCACAAAGCTAAGAAACAAGCACAAACAATACTTATGATGGATGCTGAGATTTGACCACTGCGGCCTTCAAAAATGGCTGATACAGCTGGAGTCGTTTGAGGCGTGGTGGATCCTGTACCAGCTGAAGCTGATGATATATTGCCATTTTCAGCTTCACTAATTGAAGTAGAATCTGTATGAGAAACAGTAACAGTAGTTGATGGGGATTCTCTCACAGTACTTTCAGTTTGATCCAAAGATGTACCACTTGTGGAACCTTCCACAGCCAATGTTACTGTGCTCTCCCTTGATTCAATTGTTTGTGTGACAGCATTAGCTGGATTGTTCACGTCTGCTGATGTCCCAGTTTCTGCTCCTTGACCTTGGCCTGGAATCGAAGTGATACTCTTCGTTTCCTGTTGGTCAACAGTAGCACTTCTACCGTTATTAGGTTGGGGAGCGGCCGTATCTAATTCAACAGGTGTTTTTGGAACATTTCCACTGTTATTATTAGTTGTATCATGCTCGTTTGTAGCAGTTACCTCAGTAGTGACAGTAAGCGTTGGAATTGAAATGCCAACGGTTCCAGGTTGAGAAATTGTCGTGATTGATGTACCAGGGTTGGTGTTGTAAGACACACCACAATCACCATTCACTTTACAGAACACATTTGTGAATGTGTCTTCACCGTCATTAGTTGAATGATGATTATTCTCATCTCCATTCGTGCCCTCAGTACCGGTTGTACCAGTAGCAGTTACAGTGGCATCAGTATTTGTAATGCCTTCATAGCTGTTCCCAGAAATACTTCTTGGAGATGTTGGAGATGTTGTCGAAATAGTGTCAACAGAAACTAAAATCACAGTGGTTGTAGCAGTGCTGAATTCTTCCTCAGCAGGGGATGTTGTTTCAATTTGGGTCTCATCATCAATCAGGGATGAATCTGTTGTTCCAATGACCGAATGTCCATCTTCACCCCCATTGGAAGAGTTGGCAGCAGAACTTTTTGTTGGCTCAACACCATCATGGGAAATACTTGTCGTGTCAATATTTGTGACAGTTGATGTCACAGTTTTCACTATACCGTCAGTACTTACCAGATCATCCGAGCTCAGTTCACTGACATTACTAGAAGGTGATGCTTCGGAGTCTGATGAGTCTGATGGAGAAATGAAAACCTCCGAAGTCGACGTCGTAGTTGTTGTACCAACATCACCAAAAGTAGTGGTGCCATCTACTGAGTCGGATGTACTTGCGATGCCCTCGGAACTACTTGTAACGGCAGCTGGAGTAGTAACCACAGACGCGACAGTAGTTGCACTTTCTAAAGTAGAAGACTCGACTGTACTCTCAAAAGTAGTAGCATACTCTGCGGACGAAGAATTTGACCATCTTGGAGTGAGAGGAGATAATGTCATGCATGTTGCACAACCGGTGCTGCTAGCTGAAGACCAAATTGATGAAGAGGAAGACACTTGAACCTCTGATGAGATTGAAGAGACACTTTCAGTGACAGATGAAAGCGGATCACCATTACTTGAGCTAAATGACGGTAGAGGATTAGTAGTGCTGGACAATGACTCTCCTTCACTAGATGATGACTCTTCGCTAGTTGATGACTCTTCACTAGATGTTGATTCCTCTTCACTAGATGATGACTCTTCTTCATTAGATGATTCCTCTTCACTAGATGTTGATTCCTCTTCACTAGATG